ATGTCCTGTGATAAGTTTTGGCAAGCCAACTATAAAGCGTAATTGCACCTTCAGGAATGGGACTAGATGGAAGCAAATCTTAATCTAGGCTAGCAGCTTTCATTTGTTTATCTATGAAAGTGTTGGGTTGATGGTTGGACTTGATGATCTTAAAGGTCTTTTCCAATCTTAATGATTCTGTGATTCTGTGAAAAGAAGGACATGCATATTATTAAATGACCATAACTGACACCTCCAATTATATCTGTCTGAAATACCTATAGATTCTTTAATACCATTGAAGTCATTTAGAAAAGACAGCAGTAGACAGATAATGAATCAGGTGATAGATGTAAACACTTAGGTCATTTTGGTTTTGTTTTGAAAGACTGAATTAAAGGAGGCAGAAAGTATGCCAAAAAAAGGCAAAGCTTATAAATATAGGGGCAATTTATGCTTAACAACCATCCATTCCCAGAGGATTAAGGACATAGTACAGTAGCTTTTGAGATAAGACTAAAAAATTGAAGCAGAATGTTGATGCATTACCTCAGTTTCCCTTTTTAAAATCACATACTTAGCAATCTACTTTATGTTGCAGATTTAGCATAGGCAAAACCTTTTTAGCTGATGAAAAATAAAGAACATCTTAGAAAATTCAGGGCTGAGCTGGAGCTTTGGTGTCTCTTGTCTGAATATTGGATGGGTTATCCATGAAGGAAAAGACTTAAAAGTTAAATGAAGGGGCAATAATAGTAATTTTCTAGGTTGAAACGTTCAAAAGGAAAAAAATATCAACAGATTTGCTTACAAATTATTTGACTAAGTGAGACTTTTCTGGAAGAAAAGGGGTTGAAGAAGAAAGAACATTTGGAAAGTTCTGTCTATCATAATTGATACACTTTTGATGTATGTATGATTTCCTTAGTCTAGGCTCAGTTATGAGCTCATAAAGAGAAAATGGGTGGGTCATTCAAGGTGACTCAGTTCAATTCAATTGATTTCAAATCACTCACTTAAACCATGATGGAAAATCAACATACATAATCCTTAAAATTGGTATAATTTTTCATCTTTAAAATATGTATTTCAATTATACTTATTATTTCGTTTATAAAAAAATAAACATTTTGTGAAAATAATCCTTTTAAAAATGCTAACTGCATATAATTTATATGTTTTTTGATATTTCTTAATTTTAAAGCCCATCTAAGTTAACTTGTAAAATTTTTTACATATTTGTTACTTCAAAATGATGGAAAACACATTGGCTTGTAGAAGTTTATTCTTCATCTCAAGCCACATTCAAATGGAAATCAAAGGGCAATTAAAAAGCATGAGAAAAAAATTGTTAATTCAGTAAATTTTCTGATTACAGTAAACTTTTTTCAATGAATAAAAGTTTTTCAGTGAACAAAAATTCATCAAAATATTTTGCTTTTAAAATTAGTCAACTTATTCTACAAGGAAAGTCCCATATGTGAAACAAACAGTTCAAGTCATCACATCCTACAGGATTTTAGATTGGAAAATATAATTCCCTGTCATCTCATTCATGAAGCATAGGAGGTAAAAGTGCTGTATTTTCTTCCCTCAGCTCCTAATAAGTTCTCAATTTTGAATGACCCAGTGTCCTGGTTTCAGCCAGGATGGAGCATGGATGGCACTGACCGCAGAGCAGTCTGGAGGAAAGCCCGGGCGCCCATTGGCCTCGCCTTCGGGGGTGTTGGCAGCCGGCTGTACTGGGCAGACCGCGGTGAGTGTGGGCTGAGCTGGGGCACTGCTGGGGGTCGTGGTGGTGCAGGTGCCTGGCATGGCCCCGAGGGGCAGCCTGGAGTTCTCTGTGTCCCCACATCTGATCTCCCTGCATCTGTGCCCTGCAGAGAGAGGCACCATCAGCAGCATTGAGCTGGACGGATC